TTATTATTATTATTATTATTTGAGATGATGATGATGGTGATGGTGATGATGATGATGATGCCCTCGCAATCACTCCCGTTAACATCAGATATGTTTCTGACTTATTACATGAAATATTAGCTTGATATTCCATTTTATGTGTACATACATATTCAAAGAAAAAGGTTGGTATCACGACTGTGACTGGCTAGAGTGGAACTGGTAAGGCACAGCCGTCATCTTTGGGAGGCCCACTTCCCTACTAGATCTAGTACACAGCGCACAAGTAGTTTTTCTCTCAGTGGCTCTAGAGGAAGCCCAAGAGGCGAAACGTTGAGCTGTGTCTATTAAACAAATTTTAAACACTTTATAGTTTAAAGTCATTTTGTATGAAATTCAAACAAGACTCCCCCTCCTACTCTGCTTTCCAAACAATGATGAGGATGACGGCGGCAATGTGATAATTATTTCAGAAACTGGTTTAATTACACAGCGCTTATCAAGCTTCTAAAATAGCCCCACGCAAGACAATTGGTAAACGTTAGTGCAATAATATGTATTTTTCCAAAACGATTGGTATTGTCATAAAAAAGCCTTTGTGGGCAGAACTTTGGCCCCCACCTTTTATTATAGTACTGGCTGGGACCCCTTTCGATGAAAGGAATGATCGGTGCATTAACATCTACTGAAAGTCATTGGCCTACTATATTAAACACTCTACTGGAATGGAGCAATACATCTTGAGAGAAAAGTGACACTCGTGTTTCCAAGTTCCGAAATATATAATAGAGGTATAGATTGATTCTCTATTCTGCTTTCGTGGTTGTACGCTCCAGAATTTCAAAGGTGTGGCATCAATGCGCACGGCCAGTAAACGGAAACCTCACTTGTTTACACAATGGCGTCTTAGAAGACGGACTTTCCCAAGAATAGAACTCTGTGTGGACGAAACAAAGCATTTTGAAAAAATCAGGGAAAGCAGTTTGTGTGGAATTTTTAAAGTTAGGTCCCAGCGATAAGGATGCTGTGGACGCTTGCAAAGTTTCAAAGGTGTAGGTTAGGTAATAAAGGAGGAGTTTGTGCACAAAGCGTCTCAAATCCACTTTTATATATATATACTAGCTGGGCCAAATTTCTATGAAAGGAATGATCGGTGTGTTAAGATCAACTGAAAATCATTGGCCTACTATAATTAAACTCTTCTGGAATGGAGCAATGAATCTTGAGAGAAAAGGGACACATGTGTTTCCAAGTTGCCAAATAAGTGCTCAGTATTGTGCAACAATGCACGATAGTATCGAACGGAAGTACGACTTGAAATAAACAAATCTGGCGGATTTTCTAAAATTACAGAGACAGAAACGTCGGCCTACAAAAGCGATGGGCGAAAGAAAGAAATTTAGCTTTTTGCAGTCTCAGAACTGAAAAAAAAAGGGCGTCATGATCTGGAGAATATTTTAAAGAATTTTTTGGCCAAAACCACAAGTCGATCGACGCAGCCATTAAAAGCCTTTTAAATAGCAAAATTCGGCCACCAAAAATAGATAATAGATATAGATGATGATAATTTATTGTTATTATTATAGTAGTAGTAGTAGTAGTAGTAGTAGTAGTAGTAGTAGTAGTAGTAGTAGTAGTCGTAGTAGTAGTAGTAGTAGTAGTAGTAGTAGTAGTAGTTAAGAGTAGTAGTAGTTAAGTAGTAGTAGTAGTAGTAGTAGTAATCGTAGTCGTAGTAGTAGTCGTAGTCGTAGTTGTAGTCGTAGTAGTAGTAGTAGTCGTAGTAGTAGTCGTAGTAGTAGTCGTAGTCGTAGTAGTAGTAGTAGTAAACTCAAAATAACCAGGAATATCACTGGAAAAAGTTAAAAGACTTTAAACTGGTCCAAAACAATGCTTTAGTTTAGTTATACCGAAAAGAAAGCGAGACTTCTAAACCTCTTTTACATACATTGCATTGACTTCCTGTTGAGAAAAGAATGGTGTACAAGTTGGCCACCCTATGGTCACAATTAATGTTTGAATGATAATGCGCCATCTTTTTTATCAAATCTGTTAAGAATCAGTGCTCATTCACCGCCAACTACCCTGAGCACTCAGAACCTACCATCCTGGAGAGTGAAGTGAGAGAAGCACTGAAAACTAGTCCAAAGAACAAGGCAGCTGGAGACGATGGCATCACAACCGAAGCCATCCTTGCATGCGGCGAAACCGGAATACATTGGCTTACAATCATCTTCCAAAAAGCATGGAAAGAAAGAAAAGTGCCAGCAGACTGGCAAAATGCGATAGTGGTGCCAATATGGAAGAAAAAGGGCAGCAAGAAAGACTGCAACACCTATAGAGGCATATCTCTTCTCAGCCATGTGGGGAAAATGTATGCAAAAATCCTAGAGCGACGTACTCGCGCAAAAACCGAACATCTTCTCAGTGACGCCCAATTTGGCTTTAGAAAAGGAAGAGGGTGCACTGATGCAATCTTCGCACTCCGACAACTGTGTGAGAGGGCTTTGGAATACGACAAAGATCTCCACCTCGTATTTGTGGATCAAGAAAAAGCCTTTGATCGAGTAAATAAAAACAAGCTATGGAAGATCTTACGGCAGTACGACATCAAGGGACAACTGCTAGACAACATCAGGGCTATCTATGCCAACAGCAGAAGCGCTGTCCGAACTACCAGTGGAACATCGGACTGGTTTCCAGTAACATCCGGAGTGAGACAGGGCTGCAATCTCTCCCCTCTGCTCTTCGTGATCTACATGGACCAGATAATAAAAGAGGCCAATCCAGACCCAGAGGCACTCAACGAACTCATGTTTGCAGATGACCTGGCAATGATTAACAACAAGACTCAGCTACAGGAGCATATAAACCAACTAAATGCGAGCTGCGAAAAATATGACATGAAGATCAGTATAAGCAAGACCGAAGTCATGACAATTAGCAGGAGACCAGGTAAAGTGGATATCAACATCAATGGATCCCAACTAAAACAAAGCAGAGAATTCAAATACTTGGGCAGCATTTTCACAGAAAATGGAAAATTAGATCGAGAGATAGAGACTAGATGCCAGAGAGCCAACGCAGTCAGCTACCAACTGGGCCCTCTCCTGAAACATCCCAATATCCCCATGAGCACCAAGGCGAAGCTCATCAACGCCATTTTCCTCCCAACGCTCACATATCAGTGCCAGACATGGACTCTAACAAAAGCCCTAGAGAGGAAACTGGTCACATGCGAGATAAAATGCTTAAGAAGAGCGGTCAACAAAACAAGAAGAGACAAAATTGAAAATGAAGTCATAAGGGACACCGTGGGAGCAACACCAGTCCTACCACACATTGAAAAACAAAAGGTCAAGTGGTTCGGACACCTCACGCGGATGCCCTCAAACCATCCAGCTCTGAGAGCATACAACATTAAATATTCTGGATGGAGAGCCAGAGGAAGACCAAGGCGACGATGGAGTGAATCTGTGGCAGACACCCTTAAAGATCATGGGATGTTCCTCCTACAGGCCACACGACTTGCTGCAGACAGACACCTGTGTCTCCCCGCGACACCCCAGGGTACAAGCGGAAGAAAAAAGTAAAGTAAAGTAAGTTAAGCATGTTCTTTTCAACTCGAAGTTAAGGTTATCAGCTGACAAAAAGAAATTTATTTTATCATCGATGAAACTTAAAACAATGGGTGAAAGGGCATTTGAATACCAAGACCCCAAGATCTGGAATGCTTTACCAAGTACTTTAAGAGAGGTCAAATCTTTTGATTCTTTCAAATGTCAGCTGAAGTTGTTACTGATTTTAAGTTAATAAGATGAATAGATTGGAGTGATTTTCTTTTAGGCAGAACAGAACGTTTTGTGTGACTGTTGTACGTTGTACTGTATTGTAAGGTGCTCAGAGCCTGAGTACTTCAATCGGGGTTGAGCGCTATATAAATGTCATGTGTTATTATTTTTATTATTTTGTTACCGACCTGATAGGACCAAATCGCTCCCCGTGGTCACTGAAAAAGAGGAGTAGTGTGTTGTTCAAGACCCTCTTGGTATGTAGATCAGACAGGAAATTGAGGTACAGTTCATCTCCTGCGCTCGCTCTGTTCTGGTTATCGTGCGTAAGGCGGGAAATGAAACTGTATCTGGTAGAGGAAAAAAGTAATCGAAGGTGGTTTACGCCTTAATCAACATAATTTAGATAATTTAGAATCAATTATAAATATGCATATAATTTATATATAAATGAGAGAGAGACAGACAGACAGACAGACAGACAGACAGACAGACAGACAGACAGACAGACAGACAGACAGACAGACAGACAGAGACGAAAATAAAATACTTGATAAAAGAATCTTCTCCTCAGGGGAATTAAACTGTTATCTTCTGAATGCTACGACGAATTATCCTAAAGCTACCACAGACACCGACGTTGGTTGTTTTATTTGTCGAACTTTGGAGGATCTAGAATTACGAACCGGTGAGCGTCTAAAAGTTTTCGGAAAGAGACGCAGGTCCACACGATAAAACGGTACAAGGATGCTGCTGTATGTTTCGTAAGTCTTTGCAAGAAATGTAAACAACTTGTTTAACAAGTGAGATCGTCATACCCGAAGTAAGACGTGGTGTAGCTGCTGTCAAACATCAACTGTGTAGGCTTCTGCATTTTGTTGGTGGGAGTGCAGAAAATTTTACAAGTGCAATTACAGTTTCCCAAAGTAAGGTTTAAAATGCGCCTTCTATTTCTATTAAACAAAATTTATCTGAATAATTATGTAGAACTGATAGACCTATCCGAACACGACTTGGCGCGGATGTTTTTTTATATGATGTGATTAATCATAATATGTTCAGACGATGATCATACCCAAAACACGATTCGACGATTTCATGTTATAACTGATGGACCTACCCAAAGTACGGCCTGGTGAGGATGTTATTCAATAATTATTATACGTATCACTGATGGACCTATCGACCTACCTATTGGCCTGTTATATCTACATATATCTTCCCAAACAACAGCATATTATTATACCTACCCAAAGTACGGCCTGGTATATCAAAATGTATCTCCTAAAGTACAGCTTATTATACCTACGCAAAGTACGTTCTTGTGTATCCAAATGTACCTACCCAAACTACGGCCTGCTGTATGTACCCAAAGTACGGCCTGTTGTATCTACTTATGCCTACCCAAAGTACGGCATGTTGCAGGTGTTGTTAAATAATTATTATACGTCTGAGGCTTTTGTTGGTATTGTTAGGCAATTATTATATGTATATGGTGGATCTACCCAAAATACGGCCCGTTGTATCTACTCAAACTACGACCTGCTGTATCTACCCAACTACGGCCTGTTGTATCTAACCAAACTAAGACCTGGTGTACCTAACCAAACTAAAGCCTGTTGTATCTACCCAAAGTACTGCCTGTTGTATCTACCCAAAGTACTGCCTGGTGTATCTACTCAAACTACGGCCAGTTGTACTAACCAAAGTAAAGCCTGGTGGACCTACCCAAAGTATGGCTTGTTGCGGGTGTTGTTAAAAAGTTGAGTGAGCTGCGTCCACGTGTCATAAATGAATGCCATCTCAGGCACATCCCCCACGCAGTTACTGTCCGGAAGACGCACCAGTTTGTCCGGTTCAGAAGCCTCCACCACAGGCCTGTTGTTGTAGTCCACGAACTGCTTGTGCCAGCCTTTTTTCTGATAGTGGAACGCCGTGACCTGCACTCGGTCCATCAACATGGCTGTGCGGTATCCCACACGCCGAAAATCGTTCCACAGAAACGCGTAGTCAATCTTATCCAACGGCTCGTCCCACTTCCATTCGTCGGCGAATTCTGTGTAATGTTTGCCTGTCAGAAGAGGCATGACATTGGGAAAAGTGTTTAAACCCAATTTATTGTACTTACGTAGCTCCAACGCGCTTAAATTCTTTAGTAAAAAGTTTCTGGTTTTGGGCATAGACCTTACGAAATTCTGCTTCGACATTCCATCTGTGCCTACCATGAGGACGCTGAGAGTCTCTCGCGGTTGGAAGTTTTCCAGATGCGATCTGTAGTCCTTCTCACACCTGAACTCCACGTCGGGTTTCAGTTGGACAACGGTCATATACGATCTGGATATTAGCTTGCGCTCACTGTCGAAGCATCCAATAAGCAAATTCTCATCCCTCATAGTCAACTTGATTTTGTTGCTAAACATCTCACTTTCTGAACCGTTTACCACTTCGAAATCGTTGTTATCCTTTCTGTACAAATTCCTGTATGTGCATCCTCCGAATTTCACGCCTGGAAATTTCTGCTGGAGTTTGGTTTTATTCACTTTCAAAAAATACCTGTCGAGATATACGATGGAGGCTAATCCTTTCTCGCACGAGATGGGCGGGAAGCGTTTTACGTATGGCATGATTACAGGATCAAACGGGTCTAAATTCGGGAAACTGCACTCTTCTTGCGACGTCCCATTGCTCACCCGGGACGTTTCCGATAGGTACAGAAAGAGACTGGAAGCCTTCCAGGCGATGTTTGACATCGGGGTGTGTTCGAGGGACGGGAGTTGGGACTGGAATATGAAACCGCAGACGACGATGCCGACCCAGACGATGAAGACGAGGAAAAAAACCTTGAGACATGGCCGAATCCCACCAGTCATGGTATCTGAGGAACATAGCATAATTGTGACGGCAAACGGTAAATAGCTAGACCGATAGATAGATAGATAGATAGATAGATAGATAGATAGATAGATAGATAGATAGATAGTTGAATAGATAGATAGATAGATAGATGGATGGATGGATGGATGAATGGATGAATGGATGAATGGGTGGATGGGTGGATGGGTGGGTGGATAGATAGATAGATAGATAAATAGATAAATAGATAAATAGATGGATAGACGGAACTACTCGATAAAAATTCTTCTCTCACGAGAATCGAACTCACTACTCCTGTGCGCAACAGCGAAAGCGCCTGACGGTTTCTCCACAGACGCCGCTCAACGTTACTGACTCAACCACTACTACTTGGTGAAAATATCATGAACCGAGATCTTACCAATCATCGCTCTTCTTAGACTTCAGTTCGTGCCAGTTTTGAAACAGACACCAGAGATCATAGCTCGCCACTCAGAAATTACGTAATACCACCCAGCAAAGGCTAAAGGTTAAGTAGGACGTACCTTTATTTGAGATCCAAAGCCAAACATCCGAGCTGATTGGGATGTAAAACGTAGATCTAGATCTAGTACTCGTTTCTTGAAGAGTGAACCATCTTGTTATTTCTTAACTTTTTTATAGTCTTTGACTTACATGATAATGTCCTTCATTTTGCACTGTGGCGCATTTCCGGTTAAAATTGAGCGCACCGTAATATGACTTTGGAGCCAAATGAAAGACAAGTTGTGAAAAGTGACTTGATCACTCGTCTATAGCGAGACGTGTTTTGTCCCATGTTTGGGTATAACAGCGCGACTTTAAAAAGTGCACGCTTCTCAGCGAAGTTTGTTTTATAGAGAACAAGGACTATGACTTTGCACAATTTACTACAAGTCTGTGATTTAGTTTCAAAAGCAACTGTGCCTTCAATTTACAGTGCGCGCTTGCACTGGAACTTCCCGTTTTTTTTATATATGGTGAGAAAGTCGGGATCACGGCCTTTTACGTCTTGACAGTATGCATGATACAGGTTTGCCTTGGCGGTAGACAGTGGCAAAGCGTCTATATAATCAAACAATCACTGCTTCCCTTCCAAATTGCTCCAGTGAGTAGCTAAGTGAGTAGTGAGTTTAGACTCAAGCAATGTCAAGCAAGTGTCGGTGACACAGGGATCAGATGGGTGGTCACTGGAGTGTGTCCTTGAGTAAGACACGACGTCCCTAGCTCAAAATACAGGGCGCTGCACAGTGACATTGTTTGTAAACTGTTCTGTATTTGTGTAATAGTGTATATTTGTGTACATGTATGTATTTATGCATGTATGTATTTATGTATGTACATATTTATAATTATGTATTTATGTATGTCTGCCATTGTAAATCAAAGTGCCCTTCTGGGACAAATAAAAGTGTACTTAATTTTTTAAAAATAATTTAATCATGGAATGTTGTTGTCGCCGAATTTACCCAATAGACGTTCATAATCACCAATGAACAGTGAGCACAAAATACAAAATTGTTTAATTGTTACCAATCTTCACCTCTTTCGGGCCACTTTTATAAGCAGTCGCAAGCAATGATTATGAAATCTTACAATAATTAGACTGACGGAGTCAACCTCACAAAGGTGAGGGGAACTAACTCTTCGTAATCTCTTCGACGTTTTACCGTCCTATACCAGATCGTGACCTTGATTAAGACACCGGCTCCTGGTCGCGAAAGGCCAGACAAAAACTTTCAAATTTGGAGTCAAATTGATAATTATAACAGTCAAGTATAATAGTACATAATTTGTACTATTGTCATCTTTGTTTCTTTGCGTGCGTGTTTGTTTGTGCATTTACATCTTTAGTTAATTTTGGTGTTATTTGGAATAGATATTCATTTATGAAAGTTTTTCCGACTATTTTGACGGTTGAACGTACAACATGAATTCAGGATTGTCTTCATTCACAAGTCAGTGATGCTGCTTAGAGTAAGAGGTTTTGTTTATTATGTTTCTAATGTTGGAAATCTATTTTTGTGTGACATCTCTATTTGGTTCCCTGTCTTACTTTGATTACTCTGTCAAGTCAGACTTCGCCCCTGGCGGTAGTCATAGAGGAAGTAGATTGCCCAAGTACTACTGTAACTTCCCTCCCTTCTGATCTCGACTTTCTTGATATTATGCTCCAAATGAAATACATCTTCAGTGCTTTTGGAATCAAAGAAAGTGTAACTTGTGTTTGAATATTTCTTTTTCATCTCTGCAGGCAGGATATTTATGAGTAGTCGGCTTCAGCAGGTTCTTCGACCTTCACTGGTACTAATTTATATCCCTTGTTGCTTCTGTATGTCTTTCTCTCTCCGGGCACAAAAATGACCGTCATTGTGTCGGTGTGTTTCTCTTTATTCACACAAACAAACACATTTATTGTTGTCCTGTCTCTTTCCCCTCAGGCGTCAAGGTACTTCGCCGTTTTAATTTCCGGAGGATTTGGTGGGTATTGGCCAGAGTTTTCGAAGCCGGAAGAAAAAATCAGCGTAAACGGAACAAGAACTCCTTTTACTCTTCACAAAAATAATTATTAAGCGGGGTTTTATTAAGCCAAGAACTGAGAAGGAAGAACTGAACTGGCGAGGGCGTGGATGTGCTCATGTCAAGTCGTGTCTACGTGTCATAAAGCAAGACGAACGTTTGCATTCTAAAACGCTTGGTTTTATTAAACAAAAAACAGGGGCTCTCGTTGCCGAAAGGTAAAGGTGTCCACGGAAAATTTTCTCTCTAAATATTTCTCCTTTCTACTATTTTTTCTTGTTCTTTAACAATGTTCTGTCGTCTACTTTCGTCTCCACTCTCAACCCTTTTGCCCCATCCTCTGGGCTCCTGACTCTTTCTGCAGCCTTTCTACTGCTACTCCTTGGCTCCTTCTTACTAATGCCTTTCAGCCACACCCATAATCTTAGGATAGGTAAGGTCTAATACCTAGCCTTCCGGGATAAGGGCTAAGAATCCCAACTTTAGTATTCTATTCAGGGGATATTTCGCTAAAGGTCCAGTTGGGGTCTCTCTTTTTACTAAGTTAAAATCGTGTTTCGTGCACGACGTCATGGGTACCCCCACGGTAGCCCCGCAGAGAATAGACAGCCCGAATGTGCGAAGTAGGTCAGGTAAGTTCCCAATCGAGACATCAAGAGAAGATCGTTACTGTTTTGGAAGGAAATTCCTTTCATGTTTTCTCCCGTCGCAACTTTAATTTACAAAAGAATACATTAGAAAATATAACACATAAATGCAGTAAGTGACTGATGTTGAGTTTGAGTTAGGAGAAGCAATGATTTAGTGATAGGGAAGAAAGACGGACAGATAGAAAGGGAGGA